AATTAGAGCTACAGATAGTTTTAGTCTCCATATAGGTGCTGGGAATCGAACCTGGGTCCTCTGGAAGAGCACCTAGTGCTCTTAACTGCTGAGCCATCTCTCCAGCCCTCCTACCTTCCTTTTATCTTCCCTCCCCAGAATCTGTTTTGATGTTCCCTTCCCACGCTTTTATGACTGGAACATTTATTTCCCCATCTCAAATCTTCCTGATCCAATCATAGTTTTTGGCCTAAGTATTTATATGTCACTATTCAGGGAGCCTTTTCAGGTTTTACTTAACCTGTACAATTTGCAAGGATGTGTATTTTTGCCATTCATAATATTTTTAAAAAATTTTGGATTTATTGTGTGTGTGTGTGTGTGTGTGTGTGCGTGTGTATGTGTGTGTATGCATTCATGCATTTGTGTGTATGGGCACATGCCCACCATGGTGTGTGAGATTGTTGGAGGAGAGCCCTTTTAATTAATATCTCCCTTACTTGATTAACAAATTCTGTATGAGAGAGAAATGTGCCTATGATCTTCCTCTCCCCGGAGAGCACCTGGCTCCTAGTAGCCACTCAGTACAAGTTTGTTTTTTTTTTTTTCTTTTTGGAGACAGTGATGTTGATGTAGGTCTAACTCAGGATGTTCTAACTCTTGGATTCAAAGAATTATCCTGTTTGATTTTCTCCCAGCTGAAACCACAGGGGTTTGTTACTGCCTGTTTTTTTCTCTACACCTCATCCCCCACCCCCATCATACCTTTTATGATTTTACCCTAATTTATGAATACTAGAATACTTGAAGTGTTTTCCAATGATTGTTTCCTAGTTACAGGTTTTTGTTTTGTTGCTGGGGAGAATTCAGGGACTTGCCAGGCATACTTTAACATTGAACTATATTCTTAGCCTTGGTTTTGTGAGACAGGGTCTGGATATATGCTCCAGGTTGGCTCAAACTAGTTATCCTTCCTCTGCATCCTGTGAGTGCTAGGATTATGGGGGTACACCAGCAGGACCAGCACCTAGCTGTGCTTTTTTGTTGGGCAGAAAAAAACAGTTCATTATGGCTTTGAATATCGGTCAGGATTATACTTTTTAAAAAGAAATCATCAAAATAGTTTAAAATTTTTCTAATAAGTCCTGTGATAGCATAGCCTTTGTAATGTAATTCTTGTTTTTTTCTTTTTGATACAGGGTCTCATTGTGTAGCCTTGAACTCAGAAATTCACTGTCCTCCATCTCCCGGTTGCTGGGATTGAAGGTGTGTCCACCATGTCCTACAAGATGGGGCCCAAGTTTGCCTCAAAATTGTAATCTGGTGTGCACCTTTATAGCTGGCTGGCCTTGTATTTTGTATGATCAGAAATTTTAGACTTAGAGCTGGGTGTGGTGGTGCACACCTTTAATCCCAGCCCTTGGGAGGCAGAGGCAGGTGGATATCTGTGAGATCAAGGCCAACCTGGTCTACATAGGGAGTTCTAGGCCAGCTCGGGCTACAGGGAGACCCTGTCTTAATTAGACTGCTTATATTGTTATCAAGGCTTGGCTTTATTGTATTTTTAATATGGCAAATTCTGAAATGCATGATGAGCTTTGATCTGTGGGTGATATACATCTTTTATAAAAAAATGTTTTATTATGCCAGGCGTGGTGGTGCACACTTTTAGTCCCAGGACTTGGGAGGCAGAGGCAGGCAGAATTCTGTGAGTTCAAGGCCAGCCTGGTCTACATAGCGAGTGCTAGGCCAGCTGTGGCTACAGAGAGGACCCAGTCTCAAAAAGACAAAAAAAAAAAAGTTTTATTATTTTTATTTTATGTGTATGACTGTATTGCCTGCTTGTGTGAAAGTGCACCTGTGTCATGCAGTGCCCTCAGAGTCAGAAGAAGGTGTCAGATCCCCTGGAACTGGAGTTATAGATGGTTGTTAACTGCCATGTTGGTTCTGGGAATCAAACCTGGGTCTTCTGCAAGAGCAGCTGGTGCTCTTAACCGCTGAGCCATCTCTCTAGCCCCTGACATAAATCTTGTATAAATAACTTTGTGTCTCTTTAAGATTACAAATGCAGTCAGCATTTGAAGTTCTCTGTAAAATTCAGTGAAATATCACTGAAAAATGTGTGACTCCTTTTAGACTCTTCAGAGAGATCAGATACATGTCAGAGTAAGAAACAATGTTGTCTTTATTTAAAAATTACTTATGTATGTATTTATTTTGGTCTTTCTGAGACAGGGTCTCCCTATAGCCCCAGCTGGCCTGGAACTTACAGAGAGATTGCCTTGCTCTGCCTCACTAGTGCTGGGATTAAAGGTGTATATCACTATGCCTGGCTCTTACTATTTTTATGTGTATGAGAGTAATGCCTGCGTGTAGGCAGGTGCACCCATGTCATGCACTTCTCTTGGGGATCAGAAGAGGGCATCGGATTCCCTGGAACTGGAGTTATAAATGGTTGTTAGCTGCCATGTGGATGCTGGTTCCTCTGCAAGAGCAGTCAGTATTCTTAAAACTGCTGAGCAATTCTCTAGGCCCCAATGTTGTGAAATGTGGATGTTGGAATGTCAGCTAAGCTTACTCACTGTATAACTGTCTCACAAAGCCAACTTCAGCTTCCCCCACCAAATTAATACATAAGCTTTTAGTGCTGCTTGCAAACAATTTGAAGTCATAATTGCTAAATCTTTTGAGTTCTGTTGTCGTGCTTTGTGAGAATCTGTCCCATTATCTTTTTTTCACTTAATGGGAATTAAACAACTAACAGTAAATTGCTGAACAGTAAACCGTAAACCAACTAGAATCTATAACTATTAGGTTCAAAGGCTTAATATAGATTTGGTGGGTTTTTTATTTTTTTGTGTGACGTATTGCCTGCATGTATGTAAGAGTACCCTTGTGGTGCCCACGGAGGTCAGAAGAAGGTGTCAGATTCCCTGGAACTGGAGTTATAGATGGTTGTTAGCTGCCATGTGGGTGCTGGGAACTGAACCCAGGTCCTCTGCAAGAGCAGCAAGTTCTCTTAACTCCTGAGCTATCTCTCCAGCCCCAAGACAGGGTCTTAATATGTAACCCATACTGACCTCTAGTTTGTATTCTTCTTTCCTCAGCCTCCTGACTACTGGGTTTACAGGCATGTGTCATGCCCTACTCAATATAAATTAAAAAAAAAAATGTGTGTGTGTGTGTGTGTGTGTGTGTGTGTGTGTGCACGTGCGCTGTGAATACATGGTGCATTTGGAGGTCAGAGAGCAGTTTACGGGAGTCAGTTCTCTTCCACCATGTGAGTTCTGAGAATTGAGTTCACTCAGGCTTAGCAGTAAGCAAGTGCCTTTATTAGATAAACTATCTCACCCACTGGAATACAGATTTTTTTAAAGAGGATTGTTTATGATCTTTGCCTATTTATACCATAATTGAGTCAACTGTTGTACAGTAGTATTTTTCTGTCAGCTAGCCAATAGTTTTTCTAAGAATGTAGTTTATAGTATTTATTTTTCTGGTTTATGCATAAAAAGTGATGTAAGAAGTAACATGCTGAGAAAAGATCTGCTTATCTATACAAGGGCTGGAAAAATGGCTTAGTGGTTAAGAGCACTTGCAACTCTTGCAGATGCCTTGGATTCTGTTCCCAGCACCCACATGGTGGCTTATAGCTGCCTGTAACTCCAGCTCTAGGGGATCTGACTGCGTCTGACCTCTGCCAGCTCTTGTATACATGGGGCATGCAGGAGGTATGTATACATATACTCAGGCACCACACATACACATAAAATACTTAATAAAATTTGTAGACAACATTTAGAATTTGATTAGTTTATAAGCCATACTTTAGGTCTGTGCATTGAAAATGATACAGCTAAAAAAGATTGAGGGTAGGGGAGGAAACATATTTCTTCCTGAAGAAACAAATTGTTACATATGAGCAGACCTTTTTTCAGCCTGTTACTTCTTACTGTACTGCTGATACTTCAGAGAAACATTGTTTCCACAAGCTTATTCTGCCAAATAAAAGAAAATGGTCAGTTTCCTGTGGCTGAGTGATAGAGCCCTGGACCTCTGCCTCCTAAGTGCTGAGCTTTAGGCTGACAAAGGAAGTTTCCAATGTGGGAAAATTACAAGGATAGGGGAAATAATGACTTATATGGGACAACACAATGCTACACCTACTCCTTCACTGTCAATTTCGGTCTATTATAAGAGTGACAGGAACTATTATTGTAAATTATATTTTAGTAAATAGTTCATTCTTTAGAAAATTCAGAGATGAACAGGAAGAACTAGAGGCATTTTAGAAGCTTTTCCGTTTCACTCTGTGTGGTAAATTCTAGTCTGTTGCTTTGGTTTATTTCTCAAAATACTTTTATGAAGTTTGTTTTACAGTGCTGGTGATCAAATCCAGGGACTTGCACATGCTAAAGCACCCTACAACCGACCTCCACCCCCAGCCATGGTTTTATTTTTGATTCTGGTAACACATAACAAAATTAATCATTTTAACCATTTTAAAAAGGTATAATTTCCTTAAAAAAAATTTTAATTTTATGTGTATGAGTGTAGTGCCTGCATGTATGTAACTATACCTGTGTCATGCAGTGCCCATGGGGATCAAGAGGGCATTGGATGCCCTAGAACTGGAGTTATTAGCCACCATATGGGTTCTGGGAACCGAACCTGGGTCCTCTGCAAGAGCAGTTCGTGCTCTTAACCACTGAGCTGTCTCTCCAGCCCCTTAAAACACTTTTTAAAAGCATTTTTTTGAATTTACAGGTTGGTGAAGCAAACATGAGTCATGCTTTGTGTATTATTTCTGAATTGAAAACAGGCCAGATTTCTTCTTTGTCGTACTTTTTTTTTTTTTTTTGTCTTTTTGAGACAGGGTCTCCCTGTAGCCGGAGCTGTCCTGGAACTCACTATGTAGAACAGGCTGGCCTTGAACTAACAGAGATCCGCTTGCCTCTGCCTCCCAAGTGCTGGGACTACAGGCGTGTGCCACCACACCCGGCTTGTCTTCTTTTTTTTCTTGATGTCTGTGACCAAATTTATCCCTGAGCCTAGGTAAGGGGTACAGAGTCCATGAGTCACAGTATTTCTATGGCAGCCTTTTGGGCCAGAAACCTGCCATCTGTATGGTAGGCGCTGAATTTGACATGACTGCACAAAGCAAGATTTCATACCAGTAGAGTCATGACTAGTGGATATTATCAAATATGTCTTAACTTAAATTCTGCTGTTCCTGATACCCTCCATTCAATTTGGCATGTTACCTTTGTTTCTTCCATCTGTATATCCTTGGAGAATGAATAATGGCTCCTTTTCTTTTCCTACTAGCTGTTCTGTAAGAGAAATTTTAACCAAAAGATGTTTTGTGGTAGCCAGGCATGGTGGTGCATGCTTGCAATCCTAGTACTCAGGAGGACAACACAGGATGGTCTTAAAGATACTTGGTATAAGTACTGTTCCAAGTTCTCTTGCCCTTATTTTCATTTCTCTTCTGAGACCTAACCTCCAGACCCCTCTCTCACCAAGGGTCATGCTCACTGTCTGACATAATACTGACTTTATCTCATGTGTTTTCCCCTCTACCAGTTCACCCTGTATCACTGTGTCCTGGCCCCATTGCAAACCCTGCTTGCCTCATAGCTGGCTACAGTAGAGTAACAGGTCAGACTGCCCTCTTGTCAGATCCTTGTCTGTTCATCCCTTTGTTTTCTCTTTTTTGTAGTCTCTAATTTGCTATTTCAGATGAGGAATGGAGAACTCCAAAAGGACCAGAGAAGCATTCTTATGTCCTTACTCCTTGCTCAGAGAAGCAAGTTTGTCTACTGTTGGCAGTGGTAGGAGACTCAACAGGCTAGAATTGAAGGAGAAAGTGAGCTGATTTCCTACTCTTAGGTCAGTTGGCTGGTAGATGAGCAGAGGTAGCATGACATAGCATTGGGATAAAGGCTCTAGAGAAGGGAAAGGCAAGAAGAACTTAGTGGGATAGTATCAGTATTAGTTTAGAGGACTCAGATCTGTGGGTAGCATTGTGGTTCTAATTGAAGCTGGTTGGTAGAGGACAAAGGAAATTTTGAGTTAAGGTCTGGAAGTTATTGAAGGATTGCAGTGCCTACTGGTTGACCTCTTTCAGCTTGCTGCTTGGAACTGACATGGATGCCTTGATCAGAATGCTGTGCTGATATTTTCTCTTATGCAAACATTACATTAGCATCAGTTCTGTTGTTTTTGTAGCCTATTATGTAATACAACTTTTACGGATTCTAAAAGGATGCAGAAGAATTGTAATATATTGTGTAGTCTTTCTTTTCTTAAAATTGTGCTTAAACTTGTCTCCAAGAAACTTGAACTTTTCCTTATCTATGATTTTAACATAACAAATAGTTGAATATTGTGCATTGTATTGAGGGAGATAAAAATAGCCACGGCAATCATTGAAGAAAGTGAAGCTTAATAAGACAGTCTTGTGCCAAGTTAACTTAAGAAACGACACACACACACACAAACGCACACACAAACACACAGCATAGTAAGTGCCTAAATGGCTGTTGAAGATGAGAATTCACGTAGTTTTCAGAAGTTGAAGTAATCTCTATTATACAGTATTCTGATTTATTTTTTTTTTTTTAAAGACAGGAATTCACTGTATAGCCCTGACTGGCTTGGAATTCCCTGTTGTAGAACAGGCTACCCTTGAACTCACAAAGATCTTCCTGCCTTTGCCTCCCAGAGTGCTGGGATTAAAGGCGTGTGCCACTGTGCCCAGCTGGAAGTTCTTGTTTTAGTCTTTCTGTGTGTATGAAGTGTTAGCATGTGCATGCACATTCATGTGTGTGAATGTGGTCACAAGAGTTCCACCATGCACATGTGATCAGGACAGTCCCACATGTTTGTTAGTCTTTGACACTACCATTTTGAAACAGGGTCTCCTTTTGTCCTCACCTCCAACCCTAATGTGTAAGCCAGGCTAACTAGCCCGTGAGCTTTCAAGGATTCCTCAGATTCTGCCTCCCCTGCCTCTAGGAATGCTATATATTCTCACTACTGCATCTGGCTTTATGTGGGTTTGGGGGTTTTGAACTCAAGTCCTCCCACTTGCACAAGTAGTGCTTTACCCACTGAGATATCTATCTCCCCAACCCCTGGAATTATTTTAAGAAGGTGAAAGACTGGCAGAATTTTGATGGATTAGAGTTTACTGATGAGCCAAGAAAATACCTTTTTGTGACAGGGTTTGATGTAATCAGCACAGGTTAGCCTTGAAGTTAGGACCATGCACAGTTTATGAGAAAAGGCATTTTCTGAAAAGATTTAGCAACTTTATTGTATTTTATGTTAACTGCATTATATATAAGTGCATCAATGCCATGTAATGCCTGTGGAGGCTAGAAGAGGACATTCGATCCCCTGGAACTGGAGTTATGCATAGTTCTTAGCTGCCACATTGGTGCTAGGAAGCTGAACCCAGGTTCTCAGGAAGAGCAGGCAGCGCTCTTAACTGCTGAGCCATCTCTCCAGCCCTTGAGAAAAGGCATTGTTTAGGCTGTGAAAAGGCATTGTTGGAGCTCAGTTAGAGTGGTTGTCTAGAGTACTTACCTTGTCTGTCATGCATAAAGCCCTGCCTTTAACCTGAGGCACTGCTTAAGCTGGATGTGGTGGTGCATACATGTAATCTCAGTACTTGGGAGGTGGAGGTGAATGAACAGGCGTTCAAGGCCAGTCTCAGCTACATGAGACTCTGCTTCAAAAATGAAATAAGTTGCTGAGAATGGTGGTGCATGCCTTTAATCCCAGCACTCGGGGCAAGAAGCAGGTGGATCTCTGTGACTTCAAGGCCAGCCTGGTCTACATATTGAATTCCAGGCCAGCTGAGGTACAAAAAGACAAATAAATAAATAAATAAATAAATAAATAAATAAATTTAGATGGAGGTAAAAAAGAAGGCAATCTGAAAGAAAAAAAGCCTAAGCAATATTGTGGAAACCCAAAGATTTATATTCTGGTTATATTTCTTTGTTTTGTATTACCATGTAGTAGATAAAGGGGAGTCACTGAAAGTTTCAGAGTAAGATATAAAGAACGCTCTAAGAAGTTAATCTGGCAGCAGGATCACATTTAGTATCAAGTTATACTTGCCAGGCATTTGGGAGTGTGACAGATGAGGTAAATTTGGGAAGTATTTGTACTGGGTATAAACAAACAATAGCACACAGTTTCCTAAAGGTGAGCTTTGAGCAGCCAAAGCTGTCTGTGTTTGGAATGTACATCCTGAGAGAGGTAAGAATAGGAGAGCCAAGGAAAGATGAGTTTGGAGAATAGCAAGGTAATGCCAGAACGGAAGAAGGAAAGTTTTGTGTTTTTTAAATATTTTATTATGTTTATTTTATGTGTATGAGTGTGTTGCCTGCATGTATGTGAGTGCACGCATGTTGTGCGATGCCACAGAGGTCAGAAGAGGGCTTTGGATTCCCCTGGAACTGGAGTTAAGGATGGTTCGTAGCCGCCATGTGGGTGCTGGGAATCGAACCAGGGTCCTCTGCAAGAGCAGTCAGTGTTCCTAACCACTGAGCCATCCCTCCAGCCCCAAGAAGGAAAGTATTTTAAGAAGTGATAGTTGTTGGTATCAGATGTCAAAGAAAAGTCAAGAAAATTTTTATTTTCAAGAATGCTATTGGATTTGGAGCTTAAAAGTTCATTGGTGACTTAGGTGTGATATTTTAGTAATGTAGAACGAAATCTGGTTTTTCAGGATTATATTGTTTATGATGAGAAATAAATGATGTGGGTTGTTATGCCAGGCAACAACTCTTGAGTGTCATTCCTAAGGTAATGTCTGCTTTGTTTTTTTAAGGCAGTGTCTCTCACTGACCTAAAACTCACAAATCGGGCTAGATTGGCTTGTCATTGAGTCCCAGGGATCCACCTGTCTCTGCCTCTCCAGCAGTGGGACCATGACCACACACCACAAGAATTGATTTTTTTTTTTTTTTTTTTTTTTTTGTCTTTTTGAGACAGGGTTTCCCTGTAGCCCCAGCTGTTCTGGAGTTCACTATGGAGACCAGGCTGGCTTTGAACTCACAGAGATCCACCTGCCTCTGCCTCCCAAGTGCTGGGATTAAAGGCTTGAGCCACCACGCCCAGCAGGACTTGAATTTTTAATGTGGCTTCTGTAGATAGAGCTTGCTTCTGACTGAGGTGTCTCATCAGCCTCGGAAATAAATGTTTTTTTTTTTTTTTTTTTTTTTTTTTTTTTAGAACCTGTAGCCCCAGCTGTTCTGGATTCACTATGGAGACCAGGCTGGCTTTGAACTCACAGAGATCCACCTGCCTCTGCCTCCTGAGTGCTGGGATAAAAGCTGTGCGCCACCACGCCTGGCCTTGGAAATAAATGTTTTTAAACACTGGTTCAAGATGCTTCACACTAAAAGGGAGGAATTCTAGAAGTTGGAAATCAAGTAGAAGTTTATTTTCTTGTTAGAGGCCTCTTCGAAGTGGAAGATAGAAGGGAATGAGTTAATGACACTGTGACTTGAGATGTTGAAGATACTGGGCCTTGCTTAGAATAGCTTGTTTTATAGCCAGCCTTCCTTTTAGTCATAAATAACACTGCAATGGGAAAAAAAATTTTGGAGTAGTTGAAATTTTCCCAGAGGCTCATTTTAACAAACTAAGGTCCAGTGAATCGATAAAACATTATATTGAGGGTGGAAAAACACTATAAAAAACTTCCATAAGAATGTTTAACACCAAGGCTGGGCATGGTGGCACACGCCTTTAATCCCAGCATTCAGGAGGCAGAGGCAGGAGGATCTCTGTGAGTTCAAGGCCAGCTTGGTCTACATAGTGAGTTCCAGGCCAGCTGGGGCTACAGGGAGACCCTGTCTCAAAAAAGACCAAAAAGAACTTTCAACTGAGCTGGATGTGGTAGTGCATGCCTTTAATCTTAGCACCTAGGAGGCAGGCAGGCAGGTAGATCTGTGAGTTGGAGGCTAGTCTGGTCTACATAGTGAGCTCCAGATCAGTCAGGGCCATTACAGTTAGACCCTGTCTCCAGCAATGGGAAAAAAAATTTTGGAGTAGTTGAAATTTTCCCAGAGGCTCATTTTAACAAACTAAGGTCCAGTGAATCGATAAAACATTATATTGAGGGTGGAAAAAC